TCATCATCATCGTACAGCGAAATACAGTGAAGCGCACTTTACTGACCGCTGCCAAACTCGCAATGCATTCAAGGTTAGTGGTTAAATGTTAGGTGGACAGGGATTGGACCTACTTTGAGGGAGGGATAAGGTAAACCACCATGTTCAACACAGAGTGCACAATCGAATTATGCATACATACCGTTTCAAGCGTTCTGGCCTAATAAGAAATAATAACAAGAATGCCACTGCTGTCGGTTCGCTGCCATATCCTCCAATGTCTCCAACCAACCGGTTGTGGAGTCTTTCGGTCACCAACCTGGGAGGCGAGAGACACCTACTCTACCTAATGGCCCTGTGCATCTCTTCATGCCTCGTCTCCATGTCATCTGTTGAACTCCACGTGGGTTCCTCCAGCCGGGATTAGCTACAGCGAATAAAGCGCGGTGCGCCAGACGATGACTGGGCATACGCAATAAGTGACCTAGCCAACGAAGTCTACCAATGTGAATTCGATGTGCTAGCAGGTTTATACCTGATAGACTGCCAAACACACGACGGCTTACCTGCACATTACTAACCCGTTCGCTCCATCCAACATGGGCTAAACTGTGTAAACACCGATAATCGCAAGCTTCTAGTCGATGGATATCTTCCACCCGCCAATTCAAGGTGTCACAACCATAAAGCAGAACTGAACGAATGCTAGCACAATATACACGACCTTTCAACTTCAGTGAAACGTCGCGTCTGGTTCAAAGTTGTTTCAGTTCTGCATATGCTGCTCGAGCCTTGGAATTGCGAGCGGCTATCCTTTGCTGCGATTCCGTCGTTGGTCACGCACCCACCTAACTAAGAAAAGTAATCCACTATATTGAGTATTCCCATCGTGACATTAAGAAAACACTAGCGAACAAAGCTTGTTTTCGATAAATTCCTCCTCGTCGTATTAGCCCTAGGAAGTTATCGAACGCTCCTTTCGGGTCAAGGAACACTGCGACGTTTGGTCGACGGTGACGCAGCTCAAGGACCTGACGCAACGTGAAAATGTGATCAATATTTCCACGGCCAGGCAGGAATCCGGCTTGCTGTTCACGCATGTTCTCTCTTAAAGGCGTCAGACGTCGAAGTATGCCGTCACCAAAGTGCTAACTTTGGTGACGATCGGGATCAAACTCACCCCGCGGTGATTTTTGCAATCGTTACGAGATCCTTTCCTGAAAACAGGAACGATCAATGATTCGCCCCAAGACGAAGGAATGCGCTCTCGCGTCCAAATATTGCGCAGTACGGTAGTAATAGAGCTGACGAGGTTATCACCTCCCATCTTGAAGGGAGTGGGAGGGAACTCATCTGGTCCTACTGCCTTTCCTCGCTTTAGAGCTTGAATGCAGGACCGAACTTCTGCTNCCAGCTGAACTGTTCGCTGAAGTATTCCGCCCAGCGATTAGGCTGTTCATCCCTATTGTGAGTAGCTTTTCCCATCTTATCGTAGACTGTTTCGCTCACTGGAGTATCAGTTGGGACAGTCTTTGACTATTCCCTGACGCAGCCACTACTTCCATTTCACTAGCTATTGTTGTCCACCAGTTCTGACGGTCCATTTTGAGACTCTTCTTTGCAGACGCCACTAATCCTATTTTGATCCTGGCAGGTCGGGATTTGTCATTTTTTATCCATCAGGGCTACTGACTCCTGAGATATCCAATGCCTCCGACGGGCTTGAGGCTCAGACCCACAGGCAACATTCGCTGCGGAATGCA